TACAAATTCGCACGTCACCCGACTATTCGGGCTCGTGCATGCGCGTCGCTAATGGATTTTCGTAAGACAGGTGTTAGAACGGCCGCGCGACATAAATGGTATGCAATTAGACACGAGCGCGACTCGGACGGTGGCGCGGCGAATTAGGAAACCGGTTATTTAACCAGCCACCGACTTCCTTCGCGTGTCGTGACCGCTTCCACTATGCTGACGAGTCGTTGGCAAAGTAGCGAGGCGTGCAACATTTTTTTTTTTTATTTTTTTTTATTTTCGAAAATTTTCATAGAAGATATTGTTATATATTATCGAAACGAAGAAGAAAATTTTATCCAACGAAAGTTTAATTGAATAATATTTTATGATGAAACAAGCATTTTGTTCAAAAATCAATCGATCATGTAAAATATATATATATATATATATTTATATATATCATAATTTGAAGTCACGGAATCGTGTTTGTTAATTATAATCGTGTCTGTAAACCACTGTCACGTAGTCGAACGAGAGAAAAGAAAGAGAGAAAGTGGGAAAGCGGTTCACGAAAATGGAGAGGCGAACTTTTAGCATTCCCTCGTCGCTCCTCACCCTTCACCATTACGTCCCATGATTCTATACGCCCTATCTCAGATCAAACTAACCTCCGCGACGCGACGGTCTGTTATGATCGAATCGAAACGAAATTTCTCTTCGATGGAACCATCGAACGAAAATTTCAAGTTAAATTTTGTTTAATTGTGTTTTTGAAATAGAAAAATATGAAAAAATAAAAGAAAAATTTTTTGTTTAATCTAGCAAAATTCATGTAGAAGATCTATCTAATCTCTTGTCGTTGTCGCTTAATCAAATTAATATCTAAATAAATTTTATTTATACGTTGAATAATTACTAAAAACAATATGAACATATGCTCTTAGAAATTCACTGCTAGAACGAAAACGTATCGAGATTAGGATTGAGAAGATTCTTGCCGATTAACCTGGTATCGTATAATTGAACCAAATTTTGTTTTCGTAATTATCGCGAACGTATACGACAACCGTAACGAATGCAAGTATATAGAGAGATAGACCGTGTCAGATAATCGCGAAGCAAACTCGACGCTAATTCAATAAGGCCGATCGCGGACCATACGTCGCGATAGCCTGGATCGTGTAATGAACTCGCGGCGATGTATCCACGCTCCTTTAGATAACAAGTGAAACGGAAAGAGAAAGGAGAGAAAGAGAAATATATATAGGGAATTCCCGTTGACATGTTTAAAATTAGTCTATCACGAAAGCTGAGTTCACATGAATAATTTTCTCATATTTTTTTCGAGAATTTGAAAATTTGAAAGAATCATTGCATAAGAATTTACGAACATTACATTATCGAAAAAATTTATGGAAAATAAATATAAATAGATCTAACGATGTCCTGTCGATATCATTGATTTATTTCGTAAATATCGTTAAGATATTAATTTAAAAAAAAAAAAAAAGCAATTAAGATAATTTTAACTGGACTTAATTTTCTATATGGAAGTCTTGATTTTTTTTACACTTACGCGATATCGTGTCGTGAAAAATGTGTATTACTTTTTATTTCTAACAATTTGAATCAATTTATATTTTTTTCAATATCTGATTCGTTAGATCTTTTCCCAAGATTTTTAGCAAATATTGGTACACATGTCGTGACGTTCAACACTCGAGTCACGATCCTTATTAACGTAACTCGTTAAATATCAAAGTCTATCGATTTTTTTTTTTCTCGTTAAGAGAGTAAGCATTGGCCGGCAACAAACGGTTGAAAGTTTGTCTTCTGGGAATTTCGATAACTATTTTGGGATGGAGATTACGCGAGCCATCGACTATTTTCGGCCTCCCTGTACGATATTACACAAGTGTAGTAGTTTCACTTTTCACTTCTGACACGTTCTAATTACTCACGCTTGATAATGAAATAACATCGAGTTATCGCTAAAAAATAAAAAAAAAAAAGTCAAAACTTAAATATCATTACAAAGAAAAAAATTCCAATTACCAATTCGGAATCACAATTTCTATTTCCGCCAACCAGCTCAAAAAACCAAATATCTAAGCAACGGTTAAAAATTTCTCGACAACGAAGTTTCATAAATATTAAAAATCCTCCTCAAATTTCACTTTCCACTTTCCTCCGTTCCATCCGCTTTTCTATACCCCTTCCCCCTATACGTGTATTATTTACACGTATTTTTTTTTTTTTTCTTTCGATCACAATTTCTTTCCAAAAAACTTTCGCCATCCGCGAATATTACGAGCCACGAAGCCCATATACCCGATCGAGGACGGGAGGATCGTGTCGTGGAAATCGATCGTGAGGAATTACGATCCACGGTGAAACGATAACGAAGAGTCCGAGAAGGGAACCGATGGAACGAGGCCGATAGCCTCGCCACGATATAACCGAGCTCCTTTAGGTGGCAGAAACGAGGTCTTTAGCGCGGCTGCGGCTTAAGGCGCGCTGCTTACTGTAAATTATCTTCGGCGTCATTATCAAAGATTGCACGCGCGACCAAGAATGAAAATCGAGGGAAAGAAAAAAACGGACGCCTATCCTCTACTCGAAACATTACTTTTTGCTCTTTGCAAAG